CAGAGGCTGTGGGCCAGGAATAAAGCTCTGGAACAAAACCCTCCAGCAGAACCCAACTCCTTTTTCCTTCACTTCGCTTAAAGCCTTTCTGCCAGAGGTCAACCTGAGCTCCTGCTTGCCTGGATTTGTCCCCAGCGCCAGCTGCAGCATCCAGCCAGCCAAAGGTGTCTCTGAGGTGAAACCACCTCAGCTGCTGCCCTTGGTCAAGCAGCAAGAGCCAGACCAGCCCAGGCACATTCCATCCAGCAATATCAGGATTTAATGCCAATAACACAGGAGCTGCACTTCTAAAGCTATCTCAATGCAGCTAAATGCAGATAACAAAGGGAAGTTCTAGATTCTATAACTGGAACAGGGCAACCCTGGCTGTACAGACAGACTGGGCAATGAGAGCCTGGAGAACAGCACTGCAGAAAGGGACCTCGGGGTCCTGGTTGATGGAAAGTTGAACATAAGTCAGCAGTGCCCTGGCAGCCAGGAGAGCCAGCCCTGTCCTGGGGCATCAGGCACAGCATGGCCAGCTGGGCAAGGGAGGGGATTGTCCTGCTCTGCTCTGGGCTGGGACAGCCTCACCTCGAGTGCTGGGGGCAGTTTGGGGTACCACATTGTAAGAAGATGGTGAAGGACCTTGAGGGGAAGCCATAGCAGAAGCAGCTGAGGTCACTTGGTCCATTCATCCTGGAGCAAAGAGTGAGGGGAGACCTCAGCCCAGTCTACAACTTCTTTGTGAGGGGAAGAGGAGGGGCAGGCACTGCTCTCTTCTCTCTGACCAGTGACAGGATCCATGGGAATGGCCTGAAATTGTGTCAGGGGAGGTTTAGAAAAAGGTTCTTCACGCCGAGGGTGGTTGGGCACTGGCACAGCTCTCCAGGGCAGTGCTCACAGCACCAGCCTGGCAGAGCTCAAGGAGTGTTTGGACAATATTCTCAAGCACATGTGTAACTCCTGGAGATAGTGCTGTGCAGCTCTGGGAGATGGACTTGGTGATCCTTGTGAGTCTGTTCCAACTCAGGATATTCTGCGATGTAAAAGTAAGCAAGAATTACATGGCTACATGTTTTGTTGGGCCAGAATCCTATAACAGAATAATTGATCTCAGTAAAAATTATATACCTATTGCAGTTCTGTGTTAGGAATTGAAATACTTTCACAGATTTAAGCATATGTGTTTAGACCTTTATGAATCTTTATGAACATTTTTCAGACTGCTGCTTTATATTTTACAAAAGGCAGAAGGCAGGTATGGTACAAAAGTTCAGAGGTTATACAGTTGTTCTTTTGGTTGCTTTCATTGGCCTCCTTTCTGGCAAGGCAGTCACTTTCTGACCCCCCATGCTGGTAAGCAAACAAAATCTAGTTGAAAAATAACTCAGATTAAAAATATCACTCATTAATACCTTGGTTTTAATCTTTTCTGGTTTGTCATTTCCCAACATGAGAAAATTAAGGAGTGCTGGGTGAAACCATGTGATCGGCCTAGGAACGTGTAGAGAATTATAAGAAATGGTTATATATAATTAATTGTGATTAAACCTAGTAGAAAAATAACTTGTAGATCACACTAATCTTGCTTAAGGGCAGCTACTTCACAAGTACCACTCTAATTAATAAGCTTCAGTTAAAGAAGAATCAATAAATACTGCTATTCATAGAAAATGGATATTATGTGAGGAGAAAGATTGGGCTTTAGAATAATTTGGTTTCCTCCAAGCACAAATTAAGATTCTCTTAGGGAAAAGAGAAATACCAGGTAGTGACAAATTGAGGAATAATCCAATTAAAACGTTATTGGTTTCATTGTTTATGAAGATCTGACAAAAGCATTTTATCTCAAGCATTGATATTTGCCAAAAGAGGAATTCTACCTCTAAAAATAGAGGAAATCTACTTTCCAACACAAACACTAATATGTACTGCTAAAAGAACCTCTAATGAGCCATATGAACAAAGTAACTAGCAAAAAACAATACTAGGAAACCCTGGTGACCACATCTGGACAGCAAGAAATTCACAGAGTAGACATGTATAATACAAAACTCTGTGATTAATTTAATTTTCTTTATTGTCACTACCTAACACTAAAAATCCAAGATATTTCCAAATCAGAACAAGCTATAGTAGAGATTACCTATTTTTTTGCAACAAACAGAGCAATATTTTGCCAACAAAAGAAGATACCTGAAACCTTTTCTGGGATTCCCTGCAAAAAGCTGTACAAAGGACATAGTTTTTATAAACCATCAAAATATTTTTCTTTGCATCATACTTCTGTGAGCTGCTAGTGTTGTGTGACAGCATTGGAACACACATTGATGTCCAATTTCAAAGTTGTTGGAGAGGGAAGGTCAGAACATTTAGGTTATCCACTAGCCATAAGGAACTATAAGAACATGGGAAGAGTCTTACAGCCAGAAAGGGAAAGCTCAGCTGTTTCATTTTCCTGATTGCTGTGGTCAGGGCAGGTAGTTTGAAGAGAAAAATAATTCAATTATCTTTTCACAGATTAGAGGTTTCAGTGCCTTTGTGAGCTAGATCTGGGCACTGGCCTTCCAGTACAATTAGTTCTGCGCACAGATTGCTTGAATCTCCAGGAATTTGTCTAATCTTTCTCTGAAACACTTTTAGCCCTTGCAACACCTGGTAGCAAGGAATTCCTCAGCATCTGTGTTTTAGGGTTTATGAGGGTGTCTCTTTCCACCACTGTTTTGGAGTTCTTTCCACATTCTTCTGCATCAAAAAGGCAGCCAGGTATCTTTTCTCTAATCACCTAAAGGTATACAGGTCAGTCAAGGACAACAGACTATTCCAACATGCCAAAGCAGTGAGGAGGTTTTTCACAGTGTGCCCACAGCACATTGGTTCTTAAGTACTCACCCCCTTGCACTGTAATCTCCAGTTCTTTCACAGAAAAACATCCAAGTCCATCTTTATTTTCCACATCTGTTAAATATCTGTGATCAACAATGACCCCAAATGGATTTGTCTCCCCTAACTTCATGGGTCTGAAATTAATTTGTCTATACTCTTTATCTGTGCTCTGTCTTTTATCAGATAGATTCCTCTAGAGTGGTATTGAGATCACTTATCTCAGGCCCCAGTTTAAGATTAGATTAATTGCTGCCTGTGAATGTCTTTCCTTCTTCATTGATGAGGTGACTGGTTTAGACTAGATACACAGGTTGTGATGGTTAAACTCAGGTGACATGACTGAGTGCCTTACAAAAGGCAACAACAACAGCAAAATCCAAACCTATCTTACCTTGCTTTTGCACATTACAGTAAATATTAGAAAATTATGTAAAACCTTGGCATGGGCCCCCCTTCCCATGTTTCCTTAGTCCCTGATTCTGCCATAGTGAAATCCATACAGGCTCCATTCAGAATGTTCTATTGTTGAAGAGGTAACATTGTAATTTATATTTCAGGATCAATGGGACAGAAGACCCTAAGCAAATCCTGTGGAACTGCCCTTCTGCCATTTCCTTCTCCAGCTGCTGTGTGTAGCCCCAACCCCAGGCAGTTTGCCCTGCCTGTAGACACAAAGAGTTTGATGAAGCTATTAGAACCACAACTAGACTTCAAAGCTCCTCAGAGATGAGGTGACAGGTCCACAGACTTGGATGAGACCCACTTCTGTTTCTAATGCCATCAAAGAACAGAGCTGAAAGGTTCTGTCACCTATTGCCACTCAACAATGCCAGCCAGTGCCCCTTGGGCAGCTCAGCCACCTCTCCCCTGTTACCTGCCAGTACTCACCCTAGGAAATCAAACCTTGCAATCAGTGATTTTCAGGGCAGCATCTTGTATCTCATAAATAGGGTATCAAGGTTGCTAAGAAAAAAAAACCCAGCTTGCCTCACTAGCGAAGCCCTAGAAAATCAGGAAGACAAAAATGGCATCTTGCCAGGCTGTCAGTTCGCTTCTCTGTTTGTTCCCAAGCTTTTGCTGTTGGCAAGAACACATCGCTCTGCTGCAGTGATCCCTGCATAAAATTTAAGTAATCATCCTGATAGTTTGCTAGACTAAATTTTTGCTGGATAGTCATACAAGAATGTGAAAAGCTATTTTTGTGCAACAATATTGCTCTGTTCTAACTCAACAGAGATGAGGATAGAGAAATTGGGAAAAAGTTGCTGCTGTGGGAGAGGAAGGGGGTCTTAGTATTTCCTTTCCACCAGTACAATGCAGCTGCTTCTTTTGATAGCTTTAATGCAGCCCCTTCTAATTTACATTGGTGTAAGTGAAATCAAATAAAACCCATTATGCCTCTGAACCCAGTAGACGATCAATGTAATGCAGACTTTTACAACCCCAATTTCTTTCTGTAATAGCAAAGAAACAATATGGGTTTACAGAAGGGCCAGGCTAAAGATAAACCTCCCCTGCCTTCTCTCTCTTGGGCTGCAATCATAAGAATCTAAATAGCCATTTGATTGTGAAGACTGAGGTCAAGAAGGACAGAAAAGATCGAGTGAAAGCCTGGGAGCTCAACCTGGAGATAATCTTGAAACTGAAAAATGCTCAGTGCACAGAAGATCATCTACCAATTATGCAAAGATATAGAAAATCTGAACATTAATTAAGATTATTTTATTACTCTATTAATAATGAAGTCAAATTGAGTTATAATAAGTTAGAATGTGAAGATGATTTCTTTGTATTGTTAAATGACTTGTTTCAATTTTACTGCTTCAGAATTCTAGTAAAAATGTATTTCAAAAGGAATAGATACATTTGTATTAATTATATGATAGGGGCACACTCAAAGATCTGTTAAAATGATGCACTCTAGACTTGCTTCAGACTCATCTCTTGTTTCAGGCTCTTCTCCCTGCCCTTTTTTCTCTATTTCTCCTTTCCTAGCACTGTCATCTTCCTTGTGAGTTGGCAAAACCCCTTCTATTTCTGGTGCCAAAACATCATCTGCAGCTCTGCAAGTTAAAACAGTCTGTCTAACTCCCTATTTCAGGACTTTTCTGATCGTCTCTGAAAAAAAAATTAAGATTAATTCTTGTCTGGAGAATCTGCAGCAGAACTCAGGATAGCTCCACTGGATTCAGTGCAGCTGTCAGTTTACCCCAGATGAAAATTGCCATTCCCCATTTTCTTTTCTTCTTTACATTCTTTGGTAATTTTTCACTCTGCTGCTCTATTTAATGCAGAAGCATTGTAGGGACACTGTATAAAATACATAATGTGAAACAAACTATATGCTAAACAGTCAAGATAGTGATGATCCTTCCTTTGACACATAGCCCTGAGTCAGTGGAAGTGGCTGTGGTAGAGACAGAGAGAAGTCAGCTCTGATAAAATAGCTGTTCGCTTGTGGTTACTGAGATCCAGTTTTCTGGGGCTGCCAGTGACTTGTCTTGCAGTATGAACTGGCATGAGAGGAAGGCATCTTAAAAGTTGTAACTTTCACAGATGGCTTGGAGTGTCCTTTTTGACTTTGTAGCACAGGAGCATCCTGGATGAAGTGGTTTTCCCCAGCACTACAGCCTGGAAGGCAAGTAAGGGAAGAAGGTACCTGAAAGAGTGAGGTACCATTGTGAATGGTTCTCTCAGTCCACAGTTTTACCTGTGCAAATGGAGAGAGAAAAATCCAGCTCCCCTGTGATGAGACCCAAGCACTCTGAGGAAGGAGATTTCCTGATTCCCAGACTTGAATTTCTCCTGAAATAAAATGCTGTCTGCACTCACAGATTCCTGCTGAAATGAAATGCTGTCTACACTCACAGATTCCTGCTTCTACCCCTGCGTTTCACTGTAGATGTTGAAATCACCATTTCCCTTTTCAAACTCAAAGATGCTCTAATCAATATCACTGGAAATGTCATTCAGCCTTTCACTTGGGGGAAAGGTGATGCTGACATTCTACTTTTCCTGAGTTTCCCAAGAGAACAGTTAATCTCTGTGACCTTGCAGATATTTAAGGAACCCTTCACAAGATAACACTGTATTGTGACAGACAGCAGGGACCTTCTCACAGACAGCATTTTGCCAACAGGGACCACAGAAAACATCTGGATTCAGAGAGGAAATAGTCATTTAAGCGAAACACAATTTTGTTCATCAGTATCACCCAGTGATATGCTAATATTTCTGCCCATTGGAAACAACGTTCTTGTACTTTTCAAGCAAGAAGACCATGACCTATGAATCTGACAGTGGGAAACTGAGGTGGTAAAAATATCTAAAATTTACATATTGCTGAGTGAAGACCAGACCCTGCCATTCATCATTACTAGGTTCCTCTTCACAGTTCTTGTCCTTCTGGAAGGAATGTGAGTGTACTCTGGATGTTCATCAACAGGGATTGCAGTCACTGAAGCTGAATCTAAAGATCTGAGGCACAAACCTCCAAGGAAATCTGCTTTGCAAAGCAATATGAAGAGATACAGGGGTTAAACTGTAGAGATCATTGGGACCCTTGTGAAGCTGCTTTGGTTAGTCAGGTGTGGGCACAGCAGAAAGCAAAATAAATTAAACTCCTCCAGCTGGAAAATAAATATGAAACAGCAAGTGAATTTGTGCACTTCATGACTCAGTGAGCAAAGCTTAATTCTCTAATTATTACCTCTATTCTACCCACTGAGATAAAGAGCAAGTTAAGAGAGATAATCAGGTTCTAAAACACTGTGCCCTCTTGAATTCAGCCCAAATGTAACAGTTAGCAATCATTCCAGTACTGATGCAGTCTCATCTCTTGAAAGATCTATAATAATGCAATATTTGCTATTTTGCAATTTTATATGTCAGTATCAGGTGAAGAGATTCTTCATTCTTACTTATTTTTTAACCTACTTTTCATTGCCTATTGAAATGGTTCAGCTGCAGAACCATGCATCTATTGCACAAAAGTTTGGTTAAGTATTCTACATTATTCTAAATATTCATATTGTTTTAATTTAATATAAATTCTGCTAATACCACCCAGATGTCATCTTGCATTCACAGTTGTAGTTATGTCAATGGCAGATCACATTAGGATTGATCATAAAATTCCCTGGTTTCACAAAAGCACTCTGTACTTGTAGCTACTCTTCAACGCCAAAGAAGGAGGGGAGGGAGGTCCTTTTGTTTTTTTTCAATATGAAAAGAATAAAAAAATATCAATACAATAACTCTAAATGCTACTTGCAGTCAGATTATGCGTTAATTATCCCATGACCCCTAAGAGTGCCTGATAACTAAATAACATTCTAATTGTTTGTTTCAGCACTTCAAGATTAAATTTTATTCATTCAATACCTCCACTAGATAAAAGCAAAAAAAATGGAAGCTATTTGATTTGGCTTCATACAATTAAGAAGGATATCAAGGAAGCTGATCTATTCCTTCTTCTTATCTTGTGCCTTTCTTCATGAAAAAGAAAAGAGCAGCTAAGAAATGAAAGTCTGAATAGCATCTAAACTCAACACAAAGAGGAAGATTGTCAGGTTCACCCTGGAGGTTGTCAGCCAGCAGAGTGAGGGACCGCAGCAGCTGGGCAGCAAGTCAGCTGGCATGGCTGAATTTTGGAGAGGTGCAGCAATTCTGAGCATGAACAAATTTGTTGCCATGGCAGACACATTTCCAAAACTGGCTGCTACTGTGCATTGTGGGCAAGGAAAGGGAACAAGGGAAGAAAGCATCTCACCTCAATTGGCATCGGAGACTGGAAGAACAATGGCCACTTCCAGGCCACAAAAAGGGTCAGGGTCCCCAGTGCCAATTAATGGTGCTCAGAGAAACTTCTTGGTTAGCAGGCTGTAGGAGGAATGAAGTCTGAAATGGCTTTAGGAGCACACCAGAAGTGGATCTGCAGATCAGTGCAGCACAATGCACATCCCAGTGTTTGATTTCAACTCTACTCAACTCTAAGCTGGCCCTATAGGTTCAGCCCTAGCATGAGAATGGGCAAGCTGTGTTTTGGGAGAGCACTTTCCAGTTTAGTTTCATTTCAAAGGAACCCATTTTTAGACACCTTGAGTTCACTCTGTAATATAAATCAATTAACCAAAGTGTATGGAATAAGAACAACTGGGAAAGGCAAGGTAACAGGATTTACATGTTTCAGGAAAGATACCATTTAAATTATTTTAAATATTAATTAATCAAAACAGCCAAGTAAATTTTCATGAGTGTTGTCATTAAATTGCAAAGACTCCATATTGTTATTTCCTTATTGTAAGGGTTTCATACCTCATTGATATTTCTCATAGGCATCTCCTCTAAGCACTAACTGTTCCTTGTCCTCACAGCAGCAACTGACTCCAATTCCCCCTCAACAAACAAATCCACTCTTTTATAACACTCTTCTTATTATTATTGGCTACAGCTGTAGCCTGTTAAAGTCAGGCCTGCTCCTAAGCTTAATTGTTAGCCCAGCTGCAACTCCTTAGGGGTAAGATTACTTTCTATACTACCTTTATTTTCTTATATTCTATCCCCCTACACGAGTTACTTAGTGCAGTGTTTTGTAGGAACTATATGTTGTCCTCAACACAGGAAGAAATCTTCTTTTAATTTCCCCTTCTTGTTTATAGACACTGGTTTCCAGAGTCAGGTAACTGAAGGCTCTACTTGTCCTTTTGCTCAGTACTTCCTTTCACAGATTTCTCAGGATGTTCCTGAACAGAGACTGAGGCAGAGTTCCCCAAGCTTTCCCCACTTGTTGCCCAGGGCCTCTAGCTGTGGACATAACAGATGTTTTTAGAGCAATCCACAACACAGAAAGTCAGGAGTAAAACAGAGCTAAAAGTGACCTCAGCGCTGACCATCAGCTCACCCAGTCATAGTGAGGGCTGTGAAGGTTTCTCCTGTTGCCTGTGATTACAACCTGCAAGCCTGGAGCTAAATGTTTCTACCCCATTTGCAAAGAGAAAAAAGTGAGGGAGGTTCCACCTCACAGGATCTGATAATCCAATTAGAGTATCCCTGCAATGTCAAAGAGCCAAGTTCAAACCACTCTTCTGGATGATTGAATCTTTGCCTTTTCTATGCTGGGGATTCCTCCTGTGGGAGCTATTCTTTGTGCACACAGCATTAAACATTTAGCAGGGACTGGGACCTCAGCTTCCTAGATCTGAGCTGAGTACACTTACCAGGGGGGCATGGACTCAGTCAGAGCAATTATTATTTAACTTAGAATTAACCTGAATAGAAGCTAGCTGAGCAGCTCCAACAGGAGGAACACCCATGGAGAATGGCTGATAGCCATTTTCCTGGCACATGAGACATCAAAGCCTGCTTAGAAAATAGAAATTTGAGTCAGGACTTCCTCTTTCCCAGAAAGCATTATGTTATTTTGGGAGGCAAGGACTGAAAGCCACAGGTCACAGGTGATTTTGTATCCCCAATACCTCAGGAAACATTGTTTAAAAGTGTGTGAGAATGGCTATTCTGAGAAAACATCTGTGAGCCTCCATGGACAGAGGATGTGTTCCAGGTGAGGAGATGGAGTGCCTGTGCTCAAGTGCACTCTCCCCTTCCACATTTTGGGCGAATCCAGCCCTGCTGTGCAATCCAGACCAGTCTGCTGCTCAGCAAATCAACAGAGCAAGTGAATTGGACAGAAATCAAATTCTTCCCTTAGTAATGATACAATTCCCCGAGGTTTCTGGTGCTGTCAGTCATTTCTAGATTACAGGTGTTCAGGACAAAGCAGGTGGATGAATATGACACCAGTGTAAAACCACCAGTACCTGCTCCCTGCTGGATTGCTGCAGTGACAGATATGCATTTCTGTCATAAGAGCTGCAGAAACAGACAGGTCATGCTGACAGGACAATATGTATATTTTGTGGGAGAAGATAACAGTGCCAAAAACGTGGCCCTGCTATTTCTTTACATTTGAGTGATTACACAGATAATCTCATGTCTTTTTGAATCACAGTTTACAGGTCCTCACATCATTTGATGACAGCAAGCACTGTGTAGTTCTAGGATCCTGGTGGGCATTTTCTCCCTGGCATATGTTGAAATTCAAATTCAGTCCCTGCCCTGTGCCAAAAAAAAAAAAAAAATCTAGATTATGAACCAGAGCTGTTTATTTGGCATTATCAGCTGACATTGGAAGCTAGTTAGGAATTTTCAGTGTATGGAATATAACCAATGCTCTCACATGTCAGCTCTGCAGTGCAGATAAAACCATTCTGAAAAAGTACAAGCTCTCCGATGACTTTCTGTTTAATTTATACTTTGTTACTTTCAATTTTTTATGTATTTCCATTTCTCTTCTAACTTTCAAGAGAAAATTATGAGATCACAGAAGGCTGCCACTTCAGATATCAGGAAATCTCAGCAGCTGAAAGAAAGAGCTTTGCTGTGTGATGTATTCAGCTTCACTTTCAGACCCAGAAGTCTGAAACAGCATGGGATGTCTTTGGACTTCTTAGTGCTGCTCATTAAAACTCAATATAAACTTTATCCCATTTTGAGATTTTTCTGTATTAGGGCTGAGCTATTAGGCAGCTATAAAATCTGCCATATAAAATTCAGAGTAATATAAACTACTAGCATATAAAAACTTGCATTAATGTAACCAAGGTTACAACTGATAATGCTTAAAAATGAGGAAATAGCAAATTTATAGCAAACTCAGACATTAATTCTCTTCAATTTGCTCATTATATGGATTACAGCCCAGGATTTTTCTGCCTGTTATTTTATTCCATCTTTATTCCCAATGATTGCTATAAATTAAGAGCATTACAGCAAATTATCTGTAATCATAAGACTACCTATTTTTCCCTCACATAAAATAGTATAATCCCATAAATACAGCTGGGCATGCAGACATGTGCTTGATTTCTCTTTTGTAGAAAACTCTTTAATTAAAAAAATCCTAATCCAAGATAGAATTAAAACCAAAGTGATAAGAGAAATTAAATTCTGAAAGAAAATCAAACAGCACAAGTCTTTTAGCATTAAAATTAAACCATTTTATCTGGAATTTGACTTCCTGCAGGATGCTGCAGTTGCTAGAAGTTAGTGAAAAATGCATTTCAATGCACTTAAAGAAGAATCTGTTGAGGGGCAGTCAAACAGAGATACCGGCTCTGTCTGACAAAGTTTCAGAGTGGAAAGCTGTGAGAGGCTGCTAAAATGTTGTGGAAGCATACCAAAGCATTTCCTGTAAGTAAAGAGTTAATTTTTCCCCCAGGTTTGTGGTGTCACTGTTGCCAGAGGCAGGACACAAAGCTCTGGTGTTCCTGGGTGTCCTGGTTGAGCTATTCTCACGGGACCAGGAGTGCTGGTCTGACATAACTTTCTGATACTTGACATTTCATTAAATTAAAGCAATTAGCAGCAAAAAGCAATCAAAACACTGCAGTTGCTCTGTGCTGAGAAGACTGGAACACTCCCTTCTCAATTAGCTTTCCACAGCAGTATGGCAAAGCACTTTCCAAAGTTAAAGTGCTACACCAGGAAGCATCTTATATCCAATGCTCTCAATCAATCAGCTTTGGTTCATAAACCCAGCAATTAGCAATACAAAAACTCTTGGAGTGAGACAAAAATTAACAACATTTTTTGTTTATATAGGACTGGATTTCCTTTGATCAATGTTTGTAAATGACTGGAAATGACATAAAAAGGTGAGCAAGCTGTAAAACTTCAGAAATAAATTTTACATGCTAAGGCCAAAATTAAAACGAATTCTATGTGTTTTAATACAAGAATACCCGTATTTTAAAATGAGCTTTCATATCCTCTCAAATACAAGGGCTGTTTTTGCCAAGGCTGTAGATGCCTTTCATCTGCACATCCATTCTGAAAGATGAAACTACAGACTATGGATAGATGGCAATGCACATGCACAAAATTGTGCAGATTTTGCAGTAATCATTTCAACTACATTTCCTGTACATTAGGACAAAAAATGTTCTTAACATGTTTTAAAAAAATGGAAGCAAGACAAACTAAACTTCTTAGGGTCTCAGAACTAGGAAGAACTAAGCATTCTAAATGGAGAAGCAGTTTGGATTGTTTTTATTTAATTCTTATTACTTTTAGTCTTGTTGGCTCTGTGGAAGATATGAATGTTTAGGCATCTCTAGTATTCTTCTTTGGTAATTATTGACGAGTGTTTACAATTCTCCAGAATTAGAATTGGAAATAAAATGGTAGACAACAGCCAGTGCCATTGTCACATCACCTGATGGGTACTTTCCATCTCCAGAATTCAAGAGCATTACAGATAGATAACAGTCCAATTTTCCATAGGCAAAGATTTAAGGAAAAGAACATGAACCAATGAATATAAAACCTCCATGCAACTGTGGAGTTGTGCCTCATTGTTCCATTGCCTCAGTAAATGCCATCTTCAAGAGAAATTCATATTCAGTTGCCCAACTATCTTTTTCCAGCAGATGATGATGATGAAGGAATAAAAATGTATCAAGTTGCAGTCAAAACATTACTCAGATGCTCACCTTAAAGGGCTCTCACTGCACAATAGAAGAATAAAAGCTAGAAGCAAAATGGTTTTTCACTTCAGCCCTAGCTGCCAGACTGATACTGGGCTTGTTCTACCCACTTCTTCAGGTAAAATGTATTTTTAAAAGCCTTTGAAAGAGGAACAAGTGTACATGCTTCCTTTAGCCTGGAGACCAGTGGCACTCCTCAGGGCTGGTATTGGGAGTGGCACTGTTTAACATATTTGATGGTGACATGGACAGTGGGACTGAGTGAACCCTCAGCAAGTTTGCCTATGATACTTGTGAAGACAATGCTTTTTCAGGCTTAAAATAAAAATGTGGTATTCTAAAGAGGGGGAGGAAATCCTTCATTAATGTAGCCAAATCCTACACATCAAGAAGAAAATAAATAAGCAGTTGACATTTTACACTTTTGTGGCTGAATCTCCATGTCTAAAGCACCCACAAATAAAATTTTCATATCCATTTTTAACTTCAGCACTTTTTTAGGTGCTGAAACTTACTGAAGCAAAAATAAAGCAATGAACTAAAGTAGAAGGAAGCAGACTGAAGTTGTTAACAGCTAACAGCATGGGTGTTGCCTAAGGCCAGAAATAGCTGATGGATGATAAACCAGTCAGCAGACAAATCCTCATTACAATTGTAAATTTTGTGTCGCTAACAATTTACTCTCTTCACTATCATCCCTACACTCACTTTTTGCAGCAGCTGCACTATCACTTTCCCGTGCTGGCAGGGCTCTCTTATTCTTATCCCTGGCACAGAGCATAAGCTCTGAGATTGCCACTGTCAGAGTAAAATGATGGGTTTGGAGGAGCATTGTGGCACAGGAACCAGAGG